CTAACCTCATGTTTTATATGTCACTTTAATCTGACCTCATGTTTTGTATGTCACTTTAATCTGACCTCATGTTTTGTATGTCACTTTAATCTGACCTCATGTTTTATATATTTTTCAGTGAGTGACTTTTCATTCCTCGTATATGTGTTCTTAAAAATTGTATTCAATTTGAATATATTTTAATTATAAAATTGTTATTGTTGGTGATATATCTTCTATACGCTGTTATATGCTGTATTTAGTTTTGATGCTAGAAGACTGAAATGTGTAAATTAGTGATAAACGTTTTTGTAATCTATAATATCAGAAACTTAATTGTGATATTACCAACATCAAATAATAATCAAAACATGTTCTTTGTCCAATAATAAATAATCACGTTATGTACAATACAGTGAACTAAAAATAAGACGTTATCTTTGGAACAGGTTATAGGCTCAATTGTGAGTATTTTAACATTAGTTTATTATACAAAGAATTACATCAAAAATAAATAAATTATTGCTAAACTGATCACCTGATTTTACTACAGACTTACTTACAATCTGGTATAAAACCATGATACTTTCTAAGACTATAATAATAATAATAAAAAACTAATTTTAACAGTTGGTTATGACTGTAAACATTTTTTTTTCTAACATTTGCAACTCAGTTGTATAGTCAAAACTTCTCAATAGATGGCGACTGTGATGAAGAATACCCAAACAATGTTTTAAAAGAACGAAAGAAGAAAGAAAGAAAAGTTAAGTATATAGTTGTTATTTTTCTTGGTGCAAATCGACATAATGGACTATCTGAATTTTGTCCGCCACAGGAAATCGAATCCCGGATTTTCTTTGTTGTAAGCCTGTAAACTTACCGCCGACTCGTGGGGCAGAACAATAATAGAACCTCTCAGTGTTAAAATCCGTAAAGGAACAATGTTTTATAATACAAAATTAAAATATTTTTTTTTAACCGATCAACATGTTTCAACGTAGTTTCACGTAATCTTCAGGAGTGTGAAAAACAGTTATTGTGTGCTCTATACGTACAAAAGCCATGGTCATGTATAAGTTAATGTGCAGCTAATGCAGAGTTTTCACTTCTTTGAACATGTAAATTATACTGGACATATCATCAGAAAAAAAAAGAAAGTTATTTTACCTCAACCGCATAATATGACTGCTAGAAACATTAGGGAAGCCATAAAATAATGAAACACGCCTAAAACAATTTGATCCTAAATAAGGATGAGGTGTTAGAAAATCAGAAAGTACGTAGATGGCGTGATCTTCTTTTTTGAATTGTAAACCAGTGTCACATAACCATGCCTTTCGTACTTTACGTAACACACAGACGTGAAAATATGTCGAAATATGTAGAGAGACTTTTACAACCGTTGATCGGTTTAAATAAACATTTTAATTGTGTATTATAAAACTTTGTTTGTTTGTGGATTTTAATATTTTCGTTATATATACAAGTTCCTTCAATTTTAACTTTTTAATACTTAAAATGTTAGTTTAACTAATACTGTTTGGTTATTTCATAACTGAAGTAACGCTAATTACGTATAGGTTATTTTTATACGTTTAGGCCATTAATTGCTTCTAAAAATAACACTATAAACTACATTTTACTTACTTCGCAATGACAATCTTTATTTTGAACTAAGACTGGTGACATTAGTTTTGTAATTAATCTTTGTATATCTGAAAATAATTTTGCCAGATACGTATATCCTAGTGTTTTATTTTGTAAACATAAGTAATAGTACATGGATTAAAAGAATAATAAAAAAAAAAGGTGGCCGAGCCATCGCACCGTAGTGTCCTCTAGTGGTAAATATTTCAATCATCAGAGAAAGAGTTAATTACAGTGGATTAAAGGGAATTTCCTTCGGAGAAAACCAAAAAAACTAGGTCAGAGTTGTTATACTTAACACTATCGTGGATATAATTATATAGAGATAAAATACATTTTTAAAAAAGATAAAATGCGCATTATTTGATATCAAATTCTGAAAAAAGGAATTAAGTACTTAATTAAAGTAACTTATTTTTTATGAAGTAAACGAACAAATAGCGCTTAATACGATTTACATTGGTAGAGTCTATGACTCCCTCTTGTGGTGAATATAACAACAAGCGAGCCAATTCAAGTTTAGGCGTAGAACCATATGTATCTCACGTTTTAGTGTCTCCACCCGAATTCTATATCTTTATTCTGGAATGCAGACTGAACTAGAACAGCCAAGGGCAAGTAAAAATATATTTTTTTGTATTTTCTTCTATATTGTAGTATCTACTTCTGTATAACAGTTTATCTGATTATTTGAGTGTTTAATCTGTCTCTCATCTGTATTTAATTCAGGGTCTTTATTTTCCTGGGATTTTCTTATCTCTAGAAATGAAAACTTTATCGGTTTCTCTGACAATGAAAATTATGACAAAAATTATACGTGTATATATATATATATTTATTTATTTATATATTTAT